CACGCAATTTATCTCTCAAAAGTTTAATACATCCTCTGCAAAGTCTAGATCTGCGCCACTTGCTTGGGAAACTGTTCGATCTGTGGTGAGAAGGTCATCCAACTAGAGTAAAAATAGGAAAACAAGTCACAATTTATGGGTATTACGTTTGGACGATTTCAAATTTTGAAAATCAAAAGCAAAGCAACGCAAACCAACTAACCAACGCAAACTTTATAGCCAATCACGACGACACAGAAATCAAAATGAACCAATCAAACCTCAAAGAAAAAAACGTAGCTGATGCAAAGCGCAGGAAAACTCTTTCGAGCAACCACTCTGACTTTTTAGGGGCGGATTCAGAAAATTCAGAAAGGGGTGGCCGGAACACTTAACAGCTCTATTCTAGATACTTTTTATTTTTCTGAGACGGAATTCTACAAAAGTAATACAAAATTTTAAAGGAAAAAGGGAGGCCGCGGCCCCCTCGGCCCACCCCTAAATCCGCCCATGCTTTTTAAGTAGTGAGAGATTTTTTTTCCTTTTTGCCAATAACTCGATAATAGACCTGTCCACAGCGATGGCAGCCTAAGCAATGTCAAAGCAGGTGAAAAACTACCCCAACAATTTTTGAAGGCCTCTGAACAACACGGTCGTGTGGGGTCGCTCACCAGAGAACTGTGCCTTAAATTTGGAGGCGAAATGCAGAAAAGAAAGTAAAGTCCATACCGATGTTTATTTTCTAATACAATAATATTTTTAGAAAAAACCCCTAAGTTTACTCTAAATTCGTTATGTCCCTCGCTCGTTGCACTTGCAACATTATTTTGTATCTTTTACAAGTCCATACTTCCAAACTAAAATGAATCTTAATGTTAGAAGAAAGTTATCTTGGGAACATCCTTTCTATGGTCACATTTATGGTCACATTTTCTACTTTGGGAAATTCGCAACTTTAATCTGCCAGCTGACATCTGCAGTTTACTGTAAACAAGACTCTAAGGGCCTGGCTGTTTACTTAGAGGACCCCAGAAAGGTGAGGTAACATGTGGCGGGTCACCCCACCTATCATGTAAACGTGATCAAATTAAAATGAGAGATTACAAGGACAGGTGGGCATGTAAACAGGCCATAAATGTCTCAAATGACATTGATTATGGTAACGCCTTGGTGACAAACTTCAAACAACAAACCTTGGCACTTCCGCTGTGGAAACTACTAAGTGACAGCTGCTCATCAATGTCTTCAGGAATGCTCATATCACTGTTTCAAAAGAAAAAGTAAAAGACACGTATTCAGTTAAAATTAACACTTCCTGTCCCCAAACACTTTGCAGTGCAAATACCATTATATATCTATACCTTGTTGGATTAAAGTCATCTTCGTAATCATCATTGTAATCAGCTGCTTCGCCATTTTTTTCTTCATCAGGAATATCTGGCAAGCGAAACAACTCAGATTGTTATTTGGTTACAGTTTTTATTCTAAGTACTTTTATCCTCATCTGGGGCATCCAACACTGGACTGTGTTCTCTAAGCACACATAATCTTTTGACAGTAGTAGGGAGGGGATTGGGCCTGGGAGTAGCTTGAGTGGCAGGTTTTGAAAGGGGAGGGGAGGGGTCCTTTAGAGATACAATGGTGAACCTAAAATATCCCTTACTGTGAATATATGAAAATAAATGCCAGTGAAACAGATGATTGTGAGAGCACTAGATCAACAAGCTTATTGCCTCACAGGAAAATCATTTCACTCTGCTAACTTTCTATTCAATAGCATGATGTCACATACCAAATCCAAGTTTGCTGATCCTGCTGTCAATTTCAGCCAAATCCTGCCAATTTGGTGATTTTGTGAAGTCTTCTACCAAAATAATATAGACACAAAAAATGATGTTGGAATGTACAGGTGTTTTCCTGTAATAAATACTTTACTTTGGTTATGGCTAATTCTTTTGACTAGCTTCCTTTATTCATGCCCTTCTATAGGTGCCCTGGTGAGAAAGGGAAGGGAAGGGATGAGGGGGTCCGCGAAAACCAATTTGTTGCAGACAATTATTTGTTTATGGAAAAATGCAAGGAAGCGTAATTGTTCCAACATCTCTCACAGGAAAAATATCAAAATTCCAACTCAGTTTTTGCTTGGTGTTTTTTTTTAATTTGTTGGTTTTCTATCAAACGCCTAGTTTGGAAAAACTGCAGTTATTCTAGCCTTGGTTAAGCATGGCTATCCAAAGTTGTTGAAAGGAAATTCCATACATGTTAGCAGGTAAACATACCAATCCAAGGCTGGAAAAGCTATGGAAATCAGATTATCCAGACCAGGATCAGCTTAATTTCCAATAATGGAGAGTGAGTTATCCAGGGCAAGGTATCTAAGTTCTCCATTACTGGTAAAGTAGAATTTCACTCCAGGATTTAGGAATTCTTCATGTTTGGAAAATGTCATATCCACTCCAGGTTAAGCAACATATCTATGTTTGGTAAGCATGATATACAGCTAGTGTGGGATAAATCAAATCTCATTCTCCTAGTATGGAAAATGCTATATCCAGTCCAGGTTAAGCATTATTATTAAAAACTGAATCATTGGATAATGCAGTTCCATAGCTCTGATTGGCTTAGCCGTCATGGTATATGAAACATTGTACATGTACCATGTTCTCCAGATATCGTAACTGTACGCGTCTGCTCAAAATTAAAAACAAGCTGAAAATCGGTTGTTTTTACAAATAAAGTCGAGAAGAATTCTCAATATTTTATGGGCGTTTTTAATAAAGTAATAATTATTATTCCACTTTGCTTGTTGTTGGATATGGGAATGATTATAGCCAACTCAGCGCTACGCACCTCGTTAGCTATCTACCACAGGGCTCTCACTAAGAGCCGGGGCCTGGGGATGTTCCCCGGCTACTATGAGTGCGAGCCCCGGCTACTTTCTTTATCTTTAATCAAGGTAATTGCCAATAGCGTTAATGCTAATCTGGCAATGGAGCGGCCAGTGGTGGTTCAAATACATGGTATGAAAATAAACGATGTGATTAAGTTAATATGTTAAAATAGTGGACACTCTTTGGATAAATTCTGGGTAAGATGTGAAACTAACAACATCAGCTGATAACACATTCCATGCAGGGCTTGATCTCACATAGAAAGAGTGTTTGTAAGCGTCGACTGAAGAGGATGGTAGCCTGAACTTTAAGTCGCGACTCGCCCTTCTATGGCCATATGCAGGCACGGAGGTAAGGTCATGGGGACGGAAGATGTTGCCTTGACCTCTAAAAAAACTTACAAAACTTGCGGACATCGCATATCCTGCGCCTTGACTGCAGTGAAGGCCAGTTCAAATCAGTAAGCATAGATGAAACGCTACTATAGCAGCTGTTATCAATGTAATTGTTTCATAGGAAACAAAAGGAAAATAGAACCAAAAGAACTTCCTTTCTGTACAATTCCCCTCCTACTATACTAACAGCATATACCCAGCAACTCGATATTTTAGCGACAGCCCTATACCATCTCATATCCAACGCGCACTGGTGGAATACAATAATTGTTAAATATATCCACGCTTGGTAAACTTGTATGATATACAGTGCGGGATATATAATAAGATCCCCTAAATTGAAAAATGTCATTACCAGTTCAGGTTAAGCAATATATATCCATGTTTGGTAAATATGATATGCTGTATACAGTGTCTGATGGTAGTTATACTGTAAGAGTGCTTTTCCAAAAGTCTATTCAATATTAGTGTGAAAGAAACACTTGACAGAAAATTTACATGTTTAGTTTTTACTATGCATACCTCTAGTATTGTTGTTGCTGTTCATGCCAGGTAATGGCGGTACTCCTTTTAATGAACCCAGCCCACTATTGCCTAGTGATGGAGCACCCTTAAGAGAAGACAGTCCACCAGCAGACTTGGATTCTAAGAAGGAAAAAAATAACAGTTAGTTAATAAAAGAAACTTATATTGAGGTAGATATGTGACAAATAAAATTTGCTACTATTTGTTGTAGGAAATTCTGTTGCTTTCTACTTTAATGTTATTTTCACATGTCACTCTGTTTTTACTGTCTAGTGATTAAAAACTACTGATCTTGATGTTGTATCTGTTGTATTTTTTTTCATTTTTTTAAATTTTTATCACCCGGTTTATTTTTGGAATATATTAGTTCTTTTTCCCCACCTGACTGCAATGGCAATGCCTTTTTCTCCTTTTTATCATCTTCTCTGCAAGAGAAAAAATCCAAGATCTAAATATGAACTCAAAATGAAGTGAGATGTTGGTATTTTCCCATAATTGTTATTTCTAAGTTCTGTTGGGTAAAAGTCAAAGTTGAAGGCTCACCCGAGCTCCATTTTCCACACTAACAGATGAAAACTTCTATAGAAACTGTACTTACTTTGTTCTTAACAGTGCATCACCAAATATGTCATCGCCATCATCACTGCCGATGGTTACATCTGGACTTCTACAACAGGTTATTAAAAAGACAAGCAAATATTATGAATTCAAGGATAAAAATAATGTCATAACACTCAAAGCAAATATACTTATAAATTTTGTGAGGGCTAAAAACAAATGTGTACCTTTTTCCATTCTTGTCTTTTCTTGAATTTGACAGTGAATTCTGCTCTTTACCCGAGTTCAGTGTTTCACTTTTGTCAGACTTGTTTGATTTTTCATCTCTTACTCTTTGAGGAATCTTGCTGGGTCTTGGACTAGTTGGCTGTTAAAGACAAAATATTAAACACTGAACAGTCATATACATCAGATAACTACATTCAGCATATTAAAGGTTGAGTAGAAATTATGCATGGTCCTGACACTTTTTTGCATAATTATAGAACTTGTGGTTGGAGTTTTTGAGGGCAGCTGTAAAGGATTGAGAATTTTTATCTCGCACTAGCTTACAATGTATGCTTGTGGACCTAAAATCTGGCAGAAAACTTGAGATATTCCCACCTTAATCATAACAATAACAAAATTCTCAAATCTGATTGGTTATCAACTGTCCTGATTTCACCACTAATAGGACAGTGTAATAGGACAGTACACATCATGCCTAAGTAATTGGACAGTACGCGCTATTGTGCGCTCACTTAAATGGCTTCTTTTCACTGCTAGCAAAAAACCCTCAGAATTTCTTGTGTTCAAATTTTGTTATAGTTATGATTAATTGGTAACGGAACTTTGTGTTGTCCAATTCGGTCTGTAATCATACTCATGATTTGCACAGATCAAACTCCCACTAAATGCGGTCGCCAGTTTTGTTAATCACTCATATGATTACAGACTGAATTGGAATCCACTTAGTCCTATTACCATTAGTTACCGACACATTTCTAAAAATATATATAAATTGAGTCCCTTGGAATGATTCATCATACTTTCCCCAAAAATCTACAATAATTTTAGAAGGGAAGCACTGGAACTGAGAACCTCAGAAATCTTCGGAATGTCTTCCGAACTCTTTGAAAAATCTTTAGATATGATTGGTTCCTCAAGGAAATATCCTGAAAATCTCAGGATATATATCTCACACCTTTGACTCAAAATAAGCTGTGCAAGACTAACCTCACATGGAAGATCATTTACCACCTAGTGCATGTATGTTTAACTAAAGTTTTCTTTACAGTAAGTACTGCTATTCATTATACATCATCCTTTATAACAATTTTACATTAATTTTATGGACACATATCAAAAATTGTTTTAACTTTCAAATCCTTCTTTCATATAAGTAGCTTGTGACACAAGCATTTGTAAAGAGTCTTTAGAAGTACGTACAATGTAAACAAAACACAAGATTATATTATGAGTTATTTTTAACTTGGTGAATCTTAACTGACTTTTTTCTTTGCTAGCAAATGACATTATAATTATTTATTTTTATCACACAGTCAAAATTTTAATGAAATTTAATGATTTAATATTTATTATATTTAATACCCTGCTATCATCATCAGCACTTGCAGTGTCTGAAGTAAGATCACCAACATCTGAAAAGTCTTCATCAACCTTTAACAAAGAATACTTTAATAGGCTTTTGTCTATAAATAAAAACTCAACTGGATAGCAAGGTCTAGGAACATACACAAAGACAATAAATAAATACAGTGTATGTGTGTATTTATGTTTTCATTTTGCATTACTTTACTTTCATTCTCTACTAAAAGTAAAATGTAGTCTATTTCAGTTTTATTACTACAGTGTGTATTTATAAGTATTACTATTAAAAACTGAATCATTGGATAATGCAATTCTAGAACTCTGATTGGCTTAGCTATCATGGTATATGAGACATTAAACCATACTCTCCAAATATGGTAACTGTACACGTCTGCTCAAAATTAAAAACAAGCTGAAAAACGGTTGTTTTTAAAAATAAAGTTGGGAGGAATTCTTGATATTTTGTGGGCATTTTTAATAAAACAATTATTCCACTCGCGCTTGTTGGATATGGGACAATAATTATAGCCAACTCGGCGTTACGCGCCTCATTGGCTATTTACCATCTCATATCCAATGTGCACTTGTGGAATAATTGTTAATTATTATTTTTTTAAATTTAAACTTTTATAGGCAACATGAAGGTAGTGCAATAATAGTGCCTTTTATGGTAGTTTATATTTAGTTATGCGAAGTAACACTAAATTTACACTTAGTTTGAATTATGCTCAAAAGGTGAACAGGATAAGATTCCACTGAGGTGTAGTTAGAAAAAAATATTTCTTAATAACTTGGGGGTAGCAAACATACATGTATACAGGTGCAAAGGGTTATAATGGCTTAAATTAGAACTGTAATAGTAAATTATAATAAGAATAACAATAATAATTATAATAATAACAATACTACTAATAATAACAACAAAAATAACAATAATCAAAAGTAGGTTGAGTTTGATCGTCCAGGTGAACGTAGTCCTGAATAGGACTGTTGTTGTTGACAGTGACTGGTGTTTTGACAACCTGTGCGTTAGTCATCTTCAGCGTCAAAGTGAGTTGTATCACGTCAGTTGATGGTATTATACTCTGGTTATTGATTTGATTGGTCAATTAAGTCGTGATGTTATTGGTCGTCTGTCAGTTAAGCCGTGATGTTATTGGCTATGAAGACTCGTAATCAGTAATTGGTGCGTTTCGATCCATCTATTGTCACAGTTAAACAGTTGTCTATATCCTTATTTCTGTCATTTAAGCAGCAGAGCTTTTTATCATTTTTATAAGTAACAGCCTGGCCCCAGTTGTTCAAAACGTGGATAATATTATCCACCGGATAAATCTCTGTCCAATGAATTAGTTTCCCTAAAACATTTCTACTGGATAGCGACCTACCCAGTGGATGATTGAATAACAAGGCCCCGGTGAGCCACAGACATATGGAATCCTCCTTAGAATAATAAAAATAATTATATGCAGTAACAAACAGTTCAGTTGTTGTTTTCATTGTAATGTTTAGTTAGTCCATTAGTTAACGCCACCCGACACATTAACTGACAAATCAATGAAAATTTTAGTACTTTATCATTCTTGACCTATTCAAGTTATAACGATACAGCCAGGGTGAGTGAGACTGGTCAAGAGATGTAGCTGTTGTGGTTCAAATTTGAAAAAAAAAAAAAAAAGAACTCAAAGGAAAATCCAAAGCTTGAACTTTTAACCAGAGACCAAGGGTTTTTATCCCCACTATATACTCTTGTGGGTTATTACATTAACAGTAATACTGATCCCCAAAATCTGGCTGAGGACAAAAGTCAAATACATACTTTCATGTTTGGAGGGCTAGTGCTTCTTGGACTTTCCTGTGCATTATTTCTTGGTGATGTTACTACCTCTTTAGAGATCTTTATAGAAGGTGAGAAAAAAAAACTAACTGTCAGACAATGAATCAGAAGGTTTGATTGATTTAATTATTTCATTAGTCCTAACTGATACAGTGTACAGGAAACAGGGTTATTTAATTGGAGTTCTTGTTTCCAAAATCAAATTAAAAATCAGTAGTGTTAGTTTTAATTTGAGGAAATGTTAAAACCAGAGAAGCCAGAGAAAAACACTCTCTGTGCAAGACGTATAGAGAACCAACATTGTAGATGTACTTAGCTCATACTGTACAGGTGTATATCAAAATAATAGCACTTATTTTGAGATGTAAACCTACATGTATGCCACATTTTAGGGGTGGCAAATTAAGTGACTTTACCAGACTGTGTCTACCCTGCTCTCTGCTCTGAAAGTTTAGTTAACCCTTTCACTGCCACAGTGGATGATGGAGTTTGTGAGGTGGTTCTAACTTTTACGTCTGTGGACAAAACCCTATGGTGCGATTATGCAAATGAAATCTCTTTGGAAGTATGTTCATGTAGTGTTATTTGTTTTAAAAAAATTTACAAAAGGAAATTTGGGATTTTTGTGAAATTTGCCTTTGGTCATATTTGGCTTTGAAAGGGTTAATAGGTAGTGTATAAATATGTCGCAGTTAATTTTTTATCTCAGGAAATTTTTGTTTTTCTTTTGTTTTTTGGTATGGTAATGTATGCTTATGAACAATTAAAAGTTGAAACAAAGGAACAATAAAAATTACCTGAGATAAAAAATTAACTACAACATATAAAAATTAATTATGTACATGTGTAATATGTTGTGTTTTCAATTTTATCTTAGTTTCAATTTCATTTCCCTTTGTTTCAAAGTCATGATTATAAAACAAATACCTCGCCACTTGTACTGGGTGAGAGTCTCTTTATAACTTCAGCCAGTAAAGGTTGGTTGGAATTTCCATCAATATCTTGTAGTTTAAGTTCCCTTGCAAGGTTGTTTCTTCCTGTGTACTTGTCACTCTGGAAATGACAGATAAAAGTAGTTACCGGTACATCAAAGCTGACATTGTGCTCTAAGAAAACCTAAAAGAATTTATTCTTCAGATAAAAAATAATATTATGCAGTTCTTGTGGGGATCAAGCATCAACATGCAAATTGTACTTTGGAATTGATAATGTACTATAGACTTGCATTTCAACATTATTAATGCAAAATAAAATTGGGTTCTAATTATTTTAAGTCCATGAATTTTCACGGTCTTTGTTACTCTTTTAAGGTATTTGAAGTTAATTCAAAGGAGGAGGACAATAAAGTATTAAAGTTTATGACTTACAAAATTAGTTTCAGGATCAAAAACAGCAATGGTGAAGTCCAGTTCAAAATATTCCAGAAATTCTCTGACCAAGCCAGTAACAAGACGACCTACAGTGTACAGTGTATAATAAAAACAGTAACAAAGGAGAACAAAATGAGGAACACCAAGGAAAAAGGAACTTTATCATTATGGGAAATTGTCACTGCTACAGATGGGATTACAACTTTCATAGTCATAACAAATAGGTTAATCAAGAGGACAAAAATACGGCTTCTAACCTTCACTTGTATTCAAAAACTTCTTCAGATCGGGATTCATGAGTGGCATTTTACCCTGATAAAAAAGCAATAAATCATGAAAACCATAACATTTGTATGTACAATTGTACATGTTATTGGTGAAATCAAATTTTTTACACCACAGGTACAGGGATGTAGCGAAGAAACAGCTCCTGTTGAATTTCGCTTGCTGAAAATGAGCTTACACCAGCTCAAATTCCTCTGGTAAAGAAAGACATGGAGGAACAATTTGAAGGTGCAGTTCAGTAAGTAGCCATGCTAGAATAATGATAATAAGGCAGCTTAGCATTTCCTAAGCTACATCCCAGTACATACTTTAAAACAATTTACAACTGAACAAAAGTATGTGATCTTTACGGTGGTATTTTGGTGTNAAGGTATTTGAAGTTAATTCAAAGGAGGAGGACAATAAAGTATTAAAGTTTATGACTTACAAAATTAGTTTCAGGATCAAAAACAGCAATGGTGAAGTCCAGTTCAAAATATTCCAGAAATTCTCTGACCAAGCCAGTAACAAGACGACCTACAGTGTACAGTGTATAATAAAAACAGTAACAAAGGAGAACAAAATGAGGAACACCAAGGAAAAAGGAACTTTATCATTATGGGAAATTGTCACTGCTACAGATGGGATTACAACTTTCATAGTCATAACAAATAGGTTAATCAAGAGGACAAAAATACGGCTTCTAACCTTCACTTGTATTCAAAAACTTCTTCAGATCGGGATTCATGAGTGGCATTTTACCCTGATAAAAAAGCAATAAATCATGAAAACCATAACATTTGTATGTACAATTGTACATGTTATTGGTGAAATCAAATTTTTTACACCACAGGTACAGGGATGTAGCGAAGAAACAGCTCCTGTTGAATTTCGCTTGCTGAAAATGAGCTTACACCAGCTCAAATTCCTCTGGTAAAGAAAGACATGGAGGAACAATTTGAAGGTGCAGTTCAGTAAGTAGCCATGCTAGAATAATGATAATAAGGCAGCTTAGCATTTCCTAAGCTACATCCCAGTACATACTTTAAAACAATTTACAACTGAACAAAAGTATGTGATCTTTACGGTGGTATTTTGGTGTACATGGGTATGTCTCAGGGGCATAGCCAGCTTTTTGACTAGTTGTAGGCCTGGCTGACTTTCATTTCCACATATCCTGAAAATTGCACGCATGATTAGTACACACTGACCTCACCAACACTTTCAGCTAATATAAGCATTTTAGCTCACCCCAACAACGCATAATGTTTATTACACGTGGAAGAGTGATGAAACTAAAAATTTGTAGGCCTGGGCTGGCCACGCCCCTGTATCTTTAAGAGACATTAGAGTGCACTGACTATGCAAACTGAGAATAAAAATCAAGTGTCCCTATCTACAAAATGAAGGTGTCTATAACAGAACTTGAATAGTATCCATACCTCTGCTCCTTCTTGTTCTTCTAGTGCTAGAAAGACACTGGCTCTTAACTGGGCCTAAAAAATATCAATAGAAATGAAAACAAAATACCCACAGTCACTGTGCAAATAGAAATAAAACTATTTAAAATCAACCACCTCATTGCAATTGGTTGCCATTGCCACTCAAAGTCTTGTACGACATGGCCAAAGTTATGCGCGAACATTTTCTTTACTTAACAGAACATAATTCCTCACTGAAGACCGAACGATTTCATTCTTTTTAATGGCTCTGTAGTGTACCATATAAAAACCGGCTGGCAGTTGATTCTAAGCTTAAATATTTTCTACAAAAATTCACTTTCAGTTGCGTCATTGAAATCGGACGTTAAAACCCTAAACCAATATTGATTGCTACGATTTTACCTCCACTTCTTCTTTTACTAAAACTACACATTTCCTTACCCTGATTTTTCCAAGAACTCCTTTGCTTTCAAGCGTTTGGGCCACCATATCTCTCAACTCTGTGTCCTCTTCCGCCGACATTTTGAATTTTTCACGTCNACGCATAATGTTTATTACACGTGGAAGAGTGATGAAACTAAAAATTTGTAGGCCTGGGCTGGCCACGCCCCTGTATCTTTAAGAGACATTAGAGTGCACTGACTATGCAAACTGAGAATAAAAATCAAGTGTCCCTATCTACAAAATGAAGGTGTCTATAACAGAACTTGAATAGTATCCATACCTCTGCTCCTTCTTGTTCTTCTAGTGCTAGAAAGACACTGGCTCTTAACTGGGCCTAAAAAATATCAATAGAAATGAAAACAAAATACCCACAGTCACTGTGCAAATAGAAATAAAACTATTTAAAATCAACCACCTCATTGCAATTGGTTGCCATTGCCACTCAAAGTCTTGTACGACATGGCCAAAGTTATGCGCGAACATTTTCTTTACTTAACAGAACATAATTCCTCACTGAAGACCGAACGATTTCATTCTTTTTAATGGCTCTGTAGTGTACCATATAAAAACCGGCTGGCAGTTGATTCTAAGCTTAAATATTTTCTACAAAAATTCACTTTCAGTTGCGTCATTGAAATCGGACGTTAAAACCCTAAACCAATATTGATTGCTACGATTTTACCTCCACTTCTTCTTTTACTAAAACTACACATTTCCTTACCCTGATTTTTCCAAGAACTCCTTTGCTTTCAAGCGTTTGGGCCACCATATCTCTCAACTCTGTGTCCTCTTCCGCCGACATTTTGAATTTTTCACGTCCAGTCCTCGGCCGAGATCTTCGGATTCCGAATATTTGGCGAAAATATTTCGGAGATTCACCGAGATATATCGATTTGCCAGATCCCGGATGCGCGCCAAATTTGTGCCTCACGTGTACTTATTTTGATTTGATCGCCATATTTGACAAGAAGGCCCGATCAGCGACACGCTTTCATTACAAATCATGGCTGTACAACCTTGTCAACAGTTTTCTCTCGGTAATGTCGTATAGATTAAGCCAATCTTTTGTTATTCTTTGCGTTTTGATTGCGTAAATTTTATGCTTCGTTTGCAGATGGAGCTGCGGAACAAGGCTTTCTTGCATTTTATCGTTCCTTGCCTGAGGTACGAGATAATTTAATAATGCTCGTGCTTAATTTTGTTTAAGTAATTTAACGGTTAAGCTTCAGGTAAACTTGCCCGAAGCCTACAACTCTCCGTGTGTTTGCTCTAGAAAATGTGACATCTCTTTTTTGTTCCTTTATTTCATTAGAAACCAGAGACAACTTTTCGTGTGTTTGATCGCTCGGTGAGTAGATGTTTTATGTTGTAGTGCTCCACAGTAGATCAGAATGATCTTGGTCACTGTCTCCTATCGCCCCTCCACCCATAAATAGCTAGACTTTTCATTACCTCCCACTCCCTCTATCTATCTATCTACCATTAATTTGGCGCCATCGGTCAATAAATCAATTAAAAATAAATAAATAAAAGTAGTCAAATAATATCATACTCTGAATTAAAGGTAGTTTGTAAATGCCATCAACGAAGAGGCATTAAATGTCTCATTTGGCAAAATGTTCCACTCTCTTATTGTTCTTGGAAAATATATAGTACTTCCTTCATTCCTTCATGAAGTACTTATCAGAATTAAGCATGTTGCCAATTTACGTTGTACCCAGGCTCCATATGTAATGAAAAATACCTCTTGTGCTTCGGAAATTTTTAAAATAGCTTACCCCTGCAACTCTTTGAATTCTTCCTCAAAGTTCCTGTGGAGGAGGCAGGGTGGCAACTGCTCCATGTTTTTGCAAGACAAGAAATCAAAAGAATGTTAAATATCCCTGTTGACTACACGTGCTATCAGGAGTCCAGTATGAAGATTGGAAAGGCTTCATTCTACTTCCATTAGGGATGGCTTCGATTACAATCAATAGACTATATCATCTGACACGAAGCTATTGTTCATTGTTCCTGTGCTTACTCAATCAACAGTAGTCACGTTTAACTAACATGTAACACAACATGACATTTCATAATGTAACACAGAACAGCATCTCCATAGCACACGTATTACATGCATTCCATGGCACCCTTACATTTGTGTACATGTGCAGACAATAATTTATGTGATGTGTCAGTATATGAGAATGCCTCATGCAGACGCTCCTGAATCACCATTGATCTTGTCCTCCACAGTGACTTGGGACTATATCCCTTACCTTTCTCAGTGCTGCTCAGGGCTGTCACTAAGTATTCACATTGCCCAGTATATATGTTGTAGTTCAATTTTATCCTTTGTTTATTATAAATTTTATTTTCTTTTGTTCCAAACTCATATCCATACATTAACATACCCCAAAACAAAAGAAAATAAAATTTAAACCAAGGAAAATATTGAACCACAACATACATATGCAATAAATTTAGCTAGGAAATTCATTTGGTTCTGCTTTCCTTTTGTTTCCTTTGAAAGTAGCCAGCATTCATGCTCATTGTAACGGGGGAAAATCCTCAACACCTGGCCTCTATTGACATCCCTGGTTACACATTGGAGGTTCTCATAATTTGTCCCCTGTAATATTGAAGAATGCCCTTAATAATATTTTCTCCTCCCAAATTGCAGGACTATTATACTGTTCATGGCCAAGATGCATTGTTTGCTGCCAAAGAGGTTTTCAAGACAATGAGTGTTATAAAACATCTTGGTTCAGGTATACTGTGTTGCTAGGAATGTGATACTCTGTCCTAGTTAAAATCTTGTGATGACATTTACATGTATAGCAAAGCATCAGGAGACTAGGAAACTGCTTCTTCTCTGGAGCATTTTGGCAGACCTCAGCTGTATGATTACAACTGTAGCTGGAAGACTCCAACTGTTGGTCAGCAGATTCGCAAAATTTACTTTACACTGTGTTATTATTAACTGTTATGTTGACTATAAAGCACTTAGGAAAATTAATGTTCTGTTCTTTGTGATTAGTTTTACTACATGTAGCTTTGCACTGAACCTGTTGGTACCCAATTTTTGCACAGCTAGGTAAAAAAGAACAGTTTGGATAAAACAACATGACAGCGGACGTCTGGTGCAGCTCTTTGCAACTCTTCCGCCCCTAAAACTCACATTTCAGATGAAATGCCAAGTTTCATTTTGTACATGTAAAACACTGAAATATACTATGTGAATGCACTGCCAAAGGGATGTATTAAATGATCCTGACATGTGATTTCAGCCTTACAGTCAAAATTGGTATTGCTTTTGTATATATTGCATGTGCAACCATGATTTACAGTGACTTTATTTCCCCGCTTTCATTGTTTTCTCATCAGGTGAAATACAATCTATGTAATAGTTACTGAATTGACATTTATTTCAGCTTATGTTTCAGCAGCAGATATACAGCTGTATATACATACATGGAACTGGTTTAATTTGTTAATTATGTACTTTTCAGGAGAAAAGAAGGTTCCATCTGTCATTTTGAGTAAAATGAATTTTGAGAGCACAGTTCGAGACCTTTTGCTGGTCCGTCAGTACAGAGTAGAAATGTACCGTGCCAGCAAAGGCACAAAGAACACCTCTGCATGGGAACTTGTTGCAAAGGTATTTGTGCAGATATACTTCATACTTGGAACATAATTTTTATAACAGCTACTGACACCTTG